TCTTTTTAAAAAAGTACCTCTACCCCACCTTTTTATTTAAGATCTTATAATGAATAAAAATATGAAATAAGCTTATTATCTAAACACTTTAAAAATTAGTCCTAAAAATAAGATGTAACAGCTTATCAGCTCTAAAAATATCTTATCAGATGTAAGAGTTTATCAGCTGTTTAAAATAAGCTTAGCCAAACACTCTCTTAGACGAATCTCATTTAAAATATTAAAGAAGTGGGTAGTAAACGAATTGGGCTGGACTTCACAATTTGCATGGGCTTTATTTATCATAAACAGTCCAATAATTTGGACCAAATACATTCATCCACTAGACAAGTTTAATTATTATTTTTCAAATATATTCATAAATACTGATTATAAAATATAACAGCACTAAAATAGTAAACATTTTTTTCATAGTGTAATGGCGTTTACATGTTGACTTAGTAACCAAACATTATATATTATGTTGTTTGAATTTTGAAAGCAAAAAAAAAAATAAAAAAATCTTGTGTTATACTGGTGGCATTCATCGCTAGTGGATCAACTTGCAATTAATAAGAATTGAATTAATCGTTGCCATGAATATTTATTTATTTTCTTATAATTGTTTTTGGTACATACGGACATACCTAGTGCAGGTTCCCAATTATTGCTGCTAAAGTAAACGTACGTGAAGACGACGTCGTGTTACATTAATTATTTTTTGGTGCATACCTAGCGTTACAGTTCAATATTTAAAGAATCAATATTTTTCCTCACTATTATATTCCCCATTGGTCATCTGGTATCTATAAATATATGAAGCCAGAACAAAGTATTATAAGCTGTATATGCAAATTCCATTTTCAGAAAGAAAAAAGAAAAAGCATAATCGAACGAGAAAATTAATAAAAAAAATATAAATTAATTATGTCGAATATAATTCACAAGATAGAGGAGGCCTTCCACATTGGCCACAATAAGGAGGAGAAGCATCATGAAGGTGAGCACTCCAAGAAAGAAGAAGAATATTCCGGCGAGCACAAGGCGGCGGATAAGTGTGGCGGCAAGAAAGAAGAATCCGGCGAGCACAGCGTCGGGCATGGGGAGCATATGAAGGAGTTCATGCACAAAATCAAGAAGAAGATTGGCGGCGGCGGCGGCAAAAAACATAAAAGCAAAGGTCATAAAGAAGGAGATCAGGGATACAAAGAGGGCAAAGGAGGAGAAGGAAAAGAAGGAGGAGACGAAGAAGAAGAAGAGAGAGAAAACGAGAGTGAGAGTGAAAGCGAAAGCGAGAGCGAGAGCGAGAGCGAAGAAGAAGAAGAAGAAGACGAAGAATGAGGTGGTGGCCGGATTTTAGTACGAGTTTTAATATGAGATGTTTTACACCCGGGGTACGGTGATTTTACACTATAGAGTCATATAAATAATTACCCAGTAAACACATATATATGGGTGCGTGTGTGTTTTTATGTGCAGATAAATGGTATAGAATCATCTGGTCTATTAAACCGCAAGAGTGTGAGTTTTTTTTTTTAGTAGTGATTTTGTATTTATTGTATATTTAATTGTTGGGTTTGTTGATTGATATAGTGTGTTTGTGTGAAAGTAAGGTCTACTATACTTTTGAAAAATATTAATTAATTTTGTGAATTTTAAACACCTTAATATACTTTTTATTTTTTGTATAAATTGCAGGTGATGAAGATGTACTTGCATTGTGAGATAAAAATAAACCTAGTCTTGAGGGGGTGTACTAATTAAACCAAAGTTTTAAGTTTTTATTTAATCCTTAGAATTAAAATGGAATTGTTAAATATTCGTGTGCATTTATACGCGTAATATATCTTGTTTGTGAATTGTGATAATAGAATCGATTTTTTTCGACTTGGATTAAGTCTGTTTATTCGACTTTATTCATCTCACAAATATATACAATTGGACCATTTATTTCGAACCATATATCTCGTTAAATCACTACTACGCACCACGTTTACATTTTAGACCTCGTTTTGTTGTCTATACACAAATTCTCAATAAATCAAAGTTATAATTTTTTATTTTACTTTTAATAATTGCGAACTTATTTAATTTCAGAATAGTTGCGAATTGAGATGTTCAACAAATATTATAGCAATAATAATAACAATTACTATTACAAAATACGACCATAACATCAAATCAAGACAACTAACAATCTTTTAAGTTTATGATATATAAAATCACTACTTCACCAAAAAAATAAACAGATAAATTAATATTTATTGCAAAAAGGATATCAATTTCTCAAAAGTTATAAGAGTAAATGATTATTGATTTATTTCTCAAGAACAACGCAAATAATTTCGGACTAAGAGTAAATTACAACCACCCCCGAGGTAAAGTTTATTTACGAAAAAAACCCCTTATTTGCTTGTAACTACATCCACCCCATGTAATTTGTTGGTTTCTTACATTAACACCCTTTTACCGGGTCAATGTAAGAATTTTACAAACTGTAGGGGTCTGAATGTAATTTATAAAAAAAGTTTTTTTTTTATAATTACACCTTACCTTAGGGAGGTGGTTGTAATTTTCTAGTGTACGTATATATTATGTTGTTTGAAGAAAAAAATTGTATTTTCTTTATTGATGGCATAAACTAAAGAAGAATTAAATTAATATTTGCTTCAATATTTTTTTCCTTGCTTATATTATAATTTGTTTTAATAATTAACATACCTAGAGCACGTTTTCAGTTATTGCAGCTAAGTAAACTTATACGTGACAACGACTTTGCATGTTCACATTTCAGTTTTATGCTTAACAATTAATTAATATTTTAAATTGGCTAATTGCTGTCTATATAAATTTGAAGTCAGGTCAAAGTATAAATTGTGCAATTCCATTTCCAGAAAAGCAAAAAAAAAAAATTAAAAAAAAAAATAATAATAATAATAATAATAATAAAATTTAATAGAAGTTTAAATTATGTCAAATATAATTCACAAGATAGAGGAGGCCCTCCACATTGGCCACAAGGAGGAGAAGCATCATGAAGGTGAGCACTCCAAGAAAGAAGAAGAATATTCCGGCGAGCACGAGGCGGCGGCGGCGGAGCACTGCAGCAAGAAAGAAGAATCCGGCGAGCACAAGGCGGAGCACGGCGGCATGAAGGAGTTCATGCACAAAATCAAGAAAAAGATGGGCGGGAGCGGCGGCCATGGCAAAAAACATAAAAGCAAAGGTCATAAAGAGGGACACGAATACAAAGAGGGCGGCGAAGAAGAAGAAGAAGTCGAAGAAGAGAGTGAGAGCGAGAGCGAGAGCGAGAGTGAAAGTGAACAGTATGAAGTACAAGTACAAGAAGGAGGTGGTGGATTTGAATTCGAGTTTTAAGATTGCGTGTTCATTCGTTTGTTAGTTATTTTTATTGTATAATTATTTTGGTTTTTGTTGATATGTCGTGTTTTTGTGAGGCTTGTTCGACCCTACACCCGTGATATTTGATATTCATCAGGAGTGTGGTCGAGGGAACTTTTCTTTTTAATATTTATTAATTTCATGAGATTTTATATACCTTATATATGTTTAAGAGCTTTTTTTGTGTGTGTATTTAATAGTTTAATTAAAAAGAAATTGTGTGTGTTGGTTGGTTGTGGATTCCGATGTTATAGAAAAAATCCAATTTAGTAGCTACAAGTTCAATTATTTATAATAGATCATCAATGTCATGAAAAATAATATATTGAAAAGGTTAAAAGTTTAAACTCACAACTTCAACAAAACAAATAACTTAATATTAATTTATGCAAATAGAAAATAAAAAAATAGATTCTTCTAAGGAAAAGAAAAGAACAATTTTTGACCTTTAGTAACATATACAAAAGGAAATATAGAAGAAGCTTTGTCAAAACTCGCATTATTGGGTTGAAAATCCTCACCAATTTTGACTAACTTCTCACCCCCAACTAGGGGTGTGGAAATTGGAATGGAATTTCTGATTTATGCCGGATTTGAATATTTCCGATTTTAGACGCTTCCTCATTCTCTCTTTCTCTCTCTTTTTTTTTTTTAAATTCTTTTGATTCGACCTCTTCTCTTCTTCGTTCTTCGACTTCAATTCATTTCCATTTTCCTTCCCATCTCTTCTCTACTTTTCCTTAGTTGGATGAACTATGAAGTCAACGAGGATGAGAGGTTAGCCCGATGGGATGAAAGAAAATGTGGTTTATGAAGAATCTTTGAATATGTGTTTTGCAAGTTTGGCTTACAATCTTATGTTTTTTCGTGTCTTGCCGATCGAGAATTTCAATTCGAAAAAAAATGAAATTCTGGAATTTTTCAAAACCTACAAAAAATTGCATTATTCCAAAATATTTGGAATCGGGCTGAGTTTTTAGATTCTGCAATTTTCGGATCGAAATCGGAATGCATTTTAGGGTTCTGAAAAAATCGGGTTTTCTCCGAAACACCTAAATCCGATCTAATTCATTATATTTCCACACCTACCTCCAACCATATAGCTCTTGCAAAATTTGAAAATGTTAAACTAAACGCATTTTTTCGAGGAAAGTATTAGACCACCCATTACCAGATCTGGTCATCCACAACTAATTCCATGAAGACTCTTTCATATCCAACCATAAATAACCAACTTCACTGATGGTTTGAGCTGTTTTCACCGATTTTCACCGAATCAGGTTTTGGTCATTTGACCCGCTCAAAGCTGGTTTTGGTCATTTTACCCTGTTTGTTATTTTCCGGTTTTAGAGGTCAGACCGGACAACCTCATAGTCGGGTCGCAGTCGAATCGGTTGGACCCGCCGACTCGGTCCGGTTTTGACAACATTGACTATTATTACTCATTTTGTTTATGATTGATTGGCCATAAACGTAAAACTAGTTTAAACAATTTAATTTTTTTTTTTTTAAAATGTATATATTTAATAATTTTTTTTCTTTAAAGCTTAATTAACAGACGCAAAGGCCCACCAATAGAAAGAAAGTCCACAACTATAATGGACCACGACTTCTCCACTCCCACCATGTCCATAGCAACTCTTTCTTTTTCTTTCTTTTTTTATTATTATTTTTTATTTCTTTTAATATTATTCGTAGTTCATGCTTATTCGTTTTCTTGTTTGCTTTGTTAATTGCAAAAATTGAGGTTTGAAAAAATCAAACATAAGACCTTGCTGGTTAACAAATTTTTAGATATTTTTCTTGTCTCCCCAACTATTTTACATAATTTAATGATCAATTGCAAATTAATAGTTAGTGGTAAAATATATTTGAATATGTTTACATGAAAATACATAAAAATAATTATATATAAATAAAATTTTTTATATCTTTATATAGCATAGTTGTAAATATAACCATTTATTTACATATTTCCCTCAAGTTCCTGTGACCCCATGTTTAGGACAAGCTTTTTGCCCGTGTCCGTTGTCACCAGTTGCCATTTTCGTGTTCGAGTTATGTGCTAGAATAATTCAAATAATCCAAGAACTTGCTTTAAGAGTTATGAATTGTGTTACTTGTACTTTAAATTGTGAAAATTTGGTGTTTTATACGGAGAAACAATTGATCATGGACATAACTCGGGTCACTTAGATCTGATTTCAGTTAAATCTCTATAAATTAATATAATTCACACCAATCAAATTCTATAAATTCAAAGAATTATTAGGATGGATCTTTTTATATATGCAAAAGAGATTATTAATTTATTAAAGTTTTATTTTATTTGTATGGGGCCTTTTGCTTTAGCCCATCAATATTATACCATATGTCACTTTATTTTGTCAATAAAAATTAAAAAAAGCAAGCCTACACTACATTAATATTTGGGTCAAGGTGGACCCTACTTACCTACTCGGCAAACAAAATATTAACCTCAGTGCAACTTGTCATTTGCAACAAAAGTAAGGGTTATTTTGGGGAATTAAATATCGCAGAATGAAATATTGCGGTGGCCCCAGGTGGTGGTGCGCCACCAATCTCCACCAACTACAGCCACCAAACTTTGGTGATCACTGCACCAGAAAATTTTACTTCATTACAATTACCCTGCAAATAAGGTCTTTAGCCCAGGCACTAATCGAGCGCGTGAAACAAACGCTCCACAAATATTAATTTTTTCAACCTTTTAAGTATATTGATTTTTTTTTTTGGAACATGGATGTGTTATATAATCAACCCAACCAACTTATAATTTTGCATAATTTGAATTCATTAACTTGACATTTTGTTTTCTATTTTTTAATTTATTAGATTAGGTGTATTATGAAGTATGTCGATAAGCAATAATCGAAAATATCGTTAGTAATGGTATCCATTTATAAACTTTGATATTTTGCGGATTAAAAAACCTTAGATATGTCTGTTTCGTCTCTATCTATTATTATTATTTTAATTCTATTGATTAATTGTTTAATTGTTCGAGTACTAGAAAGTCGATATAAAATAGATGCATGCACATAAAATTGCGTTCTTCAGAGGTCAAAGTGTAATCTTTCTTCTTCTTCCTTTTATTTATTTATTTATCATTATTTCCTTTTTAAAGAAGTCTAACAATTCTGATAATTTGGAGAATCTATTTTTTTTTCTTTCCTCGTGTTTTTTCGGCTAATCTTATAGTTTCAAAATTGGAATGAAATTTATGAGATTCGTCCGATTTTGGCCTAAAATTTTCCGTATTTGACATGTTTCATTCAAAACTGATACTATGTTTCGACTTTTTAGATTTTCAAATCCGAATTTAGCTCCAAAAATTTTGACTTATTTACCCAACAATCAGTCTTATAAAATCATTATTTTCTTGTATTTTACTATTATATTAGAAATGAATTAAAAATGGTAATCTGGACTGAAAAATTCTAATTTTGGAACAAGTTTTTCGATTCCAATTTTCGAAACTCGATTTTCAAAATTATTTTGGCAGGGATTTGAAATTATTTTTTCACTTCCCAAAAAAAAAAAAGGAATTATTTCGAGCGGATTTGCCCAATTTTCATCATATTCCAAACTCAGGACGTGAAAACACGCACCTAAAGGCGCGTGCACGCTCACGCAACGCGTCAGCATTTACTGTAATCAGTAAAAAAAGAAGGTAAATTTTTTACCCAAACTGGGGATGCAAGCAAAAAAAAGAAAAAAAAAAAAACAAATCGCGCACAGTATCACATTCATTCCGAGATCTACATCTCATCATGAAGCATGTATGCATTTTTCGCTATAAATAAGCCCATTCGTTCATCTCCCTGAACTCGCGTCTTGCCCTCCATTTCTCTCTCATCACCACCACTCTCTCTCTCTAGACTCGGTCTCCATTGTTTTCCTTCCCTTCTCTCCCACAGGTTCGGACTTGCTGCTTCCATTTAAATCGTTCACTGTCTCCATTTCTTCTCTACTCGTCTTGTTTTCGCTTTCTACTATTCGATTTTCGTAGTTTCCCTATTTTTTCTTTTCAAACTGTTTTTTTTTTCTTCTTTCGCTTTACTGGTAAGAGTTCGTTGCGTGATCTGCTGCCTTTTTAATTTTTTTTTTTTTAAATCGTAATTGATCAGAAATTTACGCTATGTTTGTGTATTTAAGTATTAATTAAAAAAAACATGGTGAAATGACAATAGAAGCGACTTGTGATTGGGTGGCGGGGAGTGGATTGTGAGGATAGGGTTTAAATGGTTGAATTTTGGGGAGTGGTGATTCGTAGATCTGGAATTTTGTAGCCCTGCACTACACGGATCTGATATGAAGTGGCTTTTGAGTGTGTTTTGTTCCGTTAAATCCGCGCGCGGTGTTTCAAATTACTGTTCGTGCAGCATGTATTCTATTCTTCCATCTGGATCTTAAAGTTGATGGATCTGATTGGTTGATCAGTATAGGCTCCATTCACTGCATGTGTTTGTAGAATTTGAATGATGTCGTCTTATTATTGCTTAGAGTTTGTGTCTTTTGTATCTGTATCTCATTTCGCCGATTTCGTTGGGTGGTGCAATCTAGAAGTGCAATCCGTTTTTACGTCGATTGATATTCTGTGATCCTGTTTTTTTTACATGTGATAGACGAATTAGCTGACGGATGATGTTAGAATTTTGTGTAACTGAGATCTCATGCAATCGATTGCTAATGATATGATTAGCTGGCTGGGCTTATAGTAGAATCTTTATATTAAAATTTGGAAATGGAACAGTTTCTTAATTGATTTTTTTGTATGATTTCATTGATTGAATTTGTTGTACCAGAAAAATGGCGTCTCACATTGTTGGATATCCCCGTATGGGCCCGAAGAGAGAGCTGAAGTTTGCTCTGGAATCATTCTGGGATGGCAAGAGCAGCGCCGAGGATTTGGAAAAGGTGGCGGCGGATCTCAGGTCGTCCATCTGGAAGCAGATGTCTGATGTTGGGATCAAGTACATCCCCAGCAACACTTTCTCTTACTACGATCAGGTTCTTGATACGACGGCAATGCTTGGTGCTGTTCCACCGAGGTACAACTGGACCGGTGGTGAGATTGGTTTCTCTACTTACTTCTCCATGGCCAGAGGAAATGCCTCCGTTCCTGCTATGGAAATGACCAAGTGGTTTGACACCAACTAGTAAGTGACCCGATCAAATTGCTCAGCATGTTTTTTTAATCCTTACATCGCTGATATGTTTATCTAACTATCGGTAATGGATATTGAATGCAGCCACTTTATTGTGCCGGAATTGGGGCCTGATGTGAAGTTCTCATATGCTTCCCACAAGGCAGTGAATGAGTACAAGGAGGCTAAGGCGGTATGTGCTTAGTAAAATCTCTTGATTTATAACTACATAAAGGGTGTTTGCTTCTCTATTATTCACAATTTTGTTTGATCTGATGATCCTTGTGTTATTCCATGCAGCTCGGTATTGACACGGTTCCAGTTCTTGTTGGCCCTGTTACATACTTGTTGCTGTCTAAGCCTGCCAAGGGCGTGGAGAAAAATTTCCCTATTATTTCTCTTCTTGACAAAATTCTTCCAATCTACAAGTAAGAAAAATGTTTTATATTAATCTTGTTGTCCCATTCCCATATTATGAATCCCATGTGAAACTCAAATGTATTTGAAATCATGGCAGGGAAGTTATTGCTGAGTTGAAGGCCGCTGGTGCTACATGGATTCAGTTTGACGAGCCCACTCTGGTTAAGGATCTCGATTCACACGATTTGGAAGCGTTCATGAAGGCATATTCTGAATTGAAAACATCTTGGTCTGGCGTCAATGTCCTGATCCAGACTTACTTCGCTGATGTGCCTGAAGCTGCATTCAAAACCCTTACCTCACTGCCTGGAGTTGCTGGTTATGGTTTCGATTTGGTTCGTGGAGCTAAGACCCTTAACTTGATTAGAACTGAATTCCCTCTTGGAATGCACCTTTTTGCTGGAGTTGTTGATGGAAGGAACATCTGGGCTAATGATCTCGAAGCATCTCTCAAGACTCTACAGTCCCTTGAAGCCATTGTTGGAAAGGGTATATTTTGTAAATTTATTTATAGGGTTAAAAACTTTGATTTGTTGGAAGGGCGTTCGTTTCATTTTTTCCTAATTTTTTTGCAGACAAGCTTGTTGTGTCCACCTCGTCCTCGCTTCTCCATACAGCTGTTGACCTCGTAAACGAGCCTAAGCTTGACAAAGAAATCAAATCGTGGCTTGCATTTGCTGCACAGAAAGTTGTCGAAGTAAATGCTCTGGCAAAGGGATTGACCGGAGAGAAGGATGCGGTAGATTTTATAACTAATGCCCCTTTAGAATTAAGAGCATAAGCCATATTTCTACACACACTTCCGTTGTTTTTAGCGACAATATTACTGATCTTATATGCTCTTTTTCAGGAATTCTTCTCTGCTAATGCTGCTGCTCAGGCTTCTAGGAAATCCTCTCCAAGAGTGAACAATGAAGCTGTCCAGAAGGCTGTAAGTGATGTGTTCTTTTCTTGAACTTTTTGGTGTAGTTGCTACTATAACTATCGTTTGCTTATCAAAACTAATCGTCTTGTGTTCAATCAGGCTTCTGCTTTGAAGGGTTCCGATCACCGTCGTGTAACAAATGTCAGTGCCAGACTTGATGCTCAACAAAAGAAGCTTAACCTTCCAATCCTTCCAACCACCACCATTGGTTCCTTCCCTCAAACCGTTGAACTCAGGAGAGTTCGTCGTGAGTACAAAGCCAAGAAGTGAGTGTTTTCTTCTTTTTTTCATAAAAGTTCCAAACGTGGCTTTATGTATGCACTTTCTAAAGGTTTAATTCTGCTATATAGGATCACCGAGGAAGAGTACGTCAAGTCCATCAAAGAGGAGATTAGCAAAGTTGTGAAGCTCCAGGAAGAGCTCGATATCGATGTTCTTGTTCACGGAGAGCCAGAAGTAAGTCAAACCAGAATCCTAATTCCTCAAATCAACACTTTTTTTATATAAGAATTCGAAACACTTTAATATGAAGTATCTGTACTTATAACATAACTCTTGTTTTCGGTCTATTACAGAGGAATGATATGGTTGAGTACTTTGGAGAGCAATTATCCGGTTTTGCATTCACCGCCAATGGATGGGTGCAATCTTACGGCTCTCGATGTGTGAAGCCACCAATCATTTACGGTGATGTCAGCCGCCCAAACCCCATGACCGTCTTCTGGTCCAGTGCTGCTCAGAGCATGACCAAGCGCCCGATGAAGGGCATGCTCACCGGCCCTGTTACCATTCTCAACTGGTCTTTCGTCAGAAACGACCAACCTAGGTACACATACACACACACACACACACTTATATATATATATATATATATATATATATATATATATATATATATATACAGTCAGTAACATGTGTTTCTTGGTGGACAGATTTGAAACCTGCTATCAGATTGCTCTGGCTATCAAGGATGAAGTGGAGGATCTTGAAAAGGCGGGAGTTACCGTTATCCAAATCGACGAGGCTGCACTGAGAGAAGGGTTGCCTCTTAGGAAATCCGAGCACGCTTTCTACTTGGACTGGGCTGTCCACTCTTTCAGAATCACCAACTGTGGAGTCGAGGACACCACCCAGGTATACTTTCTTCCATACCTTAATTTCTCCAAAAACCAACGCTGTAATAAATTTATGCTAATCAATATATTTTGTTGTTGATAAATCGACAGATCCACACACACATGTGCTACTCCAACTTCAACGACATCATCCACTCCATCATCGACATGGACGCTGATGTCATCACAATCGAGAACTCCCGTTCGGACGAGAAGCTGCTCTCTGTCTTCCGTGAGGGAGTGAAGTACGGTGCTGGAATTGGGCCTGGAGTTTACGACATCCACTCGCCAAGAATACCCTCGACTGAGGAAATCGCCGATAGGGTCAACAAGATGCTTGCTGTGCTCGAGACCAACATCTTGTGGGTCAACCCCGACTGTGGTCTCAAGACTCGCAAGTACCATGAAGTTAAGCCTGCACTCGAGAACATGGTTTCTGCAGCTAAGCTTCTCCGCACACAGCTTGCCAGTGCTAAATGAAGCCCCGTTGGTGGTGGTTTTCTTTGTTGAGTTTGAATTTTCTCCGATTTGTTTGTTTTTTTACCGGATTTTTAAGAAATGTTTTATTATGGTTTTTTTTTTTTAAATAATTGCTATTGGTGATGAAAGATTCATTATCAGTGGGATAGGTTTGTTAGGCTGCTGCTGCTGCCCATTTGGGGCGTTTTGTTTCTCTTTTTTACGGGTTTTGTTTCTCCTTGATTTTTCGTTTAAATCAATCTATATTTTATTATGTTTGAGTTATTTATTTAATATTTTAATGATACTTATTTGAAACATACATATACTAAAATACTATTTATTTTATCACTATTGAACAGTGGAATGTTATATAATAATGGTTGATGTAGGGTTAATAATTTGAACGGATACTTTTTTTCTTTGGAAATCGGAAGCAATGAAATTTGAAAGTTCCAAGTGTTTATTATAAATAAATAATAATAATCTTATACCGTTATACGTGCAATTTTTGGAAATCAAAATCGAATTGAAAATCAGAATGTATTTCAATTTTGTTCAAAAAAGAATTATATATTGTAACTTGTTTAATTTGGAATGAAAAATATCGTTTCAAGATAATTTTAGAAAATGGATTGATATCGGCTGAATCCGATTCCGATTTTGAAACATTGTTTTTTTTTTCTTTTTTTTTTCTCATTAATTAGCATAAATTTTCGTTGTATTTTTTCATCCTACATACCCTCTAGGGTGGAATGCGGAATGGGATTTCTAAATTCCGATTCGAAAATATCCAAAATTAGAACCGTACTTTTTATTTCGATTTTCGATTTTTCGAATATATTTGGAACTGAATTAAATTGGTATATAAAATTTTCGGAAATTTCGATTTCCAATCTGATTTCAGTTGCGAATATTTCGATGATTTTTCAAAATATATAGTATAATTTATGATATATTTTGTAATTCTATAATACGACTTATGTTACATTTAATATGAAAAATATGAATTTCGAAGGATCAAGTAAATCAGAATCTTAGAAAAGATTAATTAGTATCAAAACTTTATACATTTAAACAAATAGTAGTGTTATACATAAGTTCATAGAAAAGGTTATTGGTTGAGGTGGTAAAGATACATTTTCAAAAAAATATTGTGAAAATTCGAATTTGAAACAGGAGATTATAAACTAATGCAACTTTCAAAGTTTTCAAAAATTCCTCCGATTTCGAGGCATTTCAAAATCCGATCGAAATTTTTGCATTCCAATTATTTTGGAACGAAAATTGGGACACCATTTTTACTTTCGGGACCCATTTAATTTTGAATTTAATTGATTATTTTGCTAATAAAAACAGCACACGGGAGGTTTTTAATTCTTTTAACAGTGCAGTAAAAAGTAAAAAAAAAACAGGCGTATCCAACACAATATACCCTAGTACATAAATATTTATATTTATTCCCAAAAAAAAAAAGAAGGAAAAAATCTTACCATACGTACAAACTTCACCACTTTTCCCCTCAAGAAATCATTAATTGGCCGCACACATATGAACTCGCCGACGATCTCATCACTCTTCAATTAGATTTCTTCACATTCTCTCAAATCTCTTATTCCCTCTTTCAATTTTGTATAATTTAAATTTCAAAAAAAAAAAAAATCAAAAAAAAAAAAAAAGATGAACAAGAGTAAATTACAGGAATTCTGCCAGAGGAGGAATTGGGAGTTGCCGGAGTACACCACCGTCAAAGTCGGCCCCGATCACATGGCTCGCTTCACCGCCGTTGTCAATGTGAACGGTCACCGCTTCGAAACTCCGGAACCGTGCAAGTCGGCCAAGGATGCTCAGAACACCGCCGCCCGAATTGCCTTCAACCATTTCAATGCTCCTCCGCCGCCGCCCCCTGCCCACGCCTTGCCCACTGCCTCTTCCGCTATTTACCCTCAAATTAGTGCCGTACCGCCTGCTGCCCTACTCCCGGCTGTGCCGCCGCCGTCTGAGGTGCATCGCCCGGTTACTGCCACAATCCCTAATTCTCCTGCTCCTTCATCACTTCCGGTTCCTCCTCCCGGTAATTCCTAGGTTTTGTGTTTTTGGGGGTTTCATTACTCTCAATGAGTGAACTTGATTTTTTCTTACTTCCTTCATAAATTTCATCTAAAATTTATCTTTGAAAGTTCGGTGAGAATCCTTTATTTGTTGAGTAATGTAGGTGGCGGTGTGTTCGATCGATCTTTTTTTTTTTACAGGCAGTGTCTTACTTAGCGATTATAGTTATGCGGTGTTATTCAAATTTCTTCAGATCTTGTGAAAAATGAAATTGAAATAGGAGGGGAAAAAAATTGATAGATAAAACTGGAAGTGATAGAATAAGACATTGAAACTTCAATGATGTTTGTGCAGGATTTTTGGCGACGAAGAATGATCCGCAGCAGAGTAGTGGAGATGCTACACAAGCTTCTACGGTTTATAGGATTGCGATAGGTTCCAATCATAAAGGTCAGAGAATGATTATAGCTTTGTGTTTTATTTAGATTATCTTGTTATTTCAAATCTTCTGATGGCCTGATTTCTGGAGTTCGACTGGTTAAATTACTGAGGCAACACTTTCCTCGTTGAAGTTGGAGATTGGTGGTCGTTTCAAATTGTAAAAAAATAAAGTCTTTTTCTCATTACTGCATAAGCGAATATGTTGTATTTTGATGTATTGAGGTAATAATGAAACTAGGTGTGTTGACGGTTTTTAATTTCTAGCCTAGTCGTTTTGACATGTTAACGTAGAAGGTATTATAAGACTGAGAGCTCTTTAACAAATTGATTTTGGTCCGTTATTCATGTATGACGTTGTCCGCTAATAATAATTATACTTGGAAAACTGAATTGACTAATTCATATTCTAGAAAGAGAACAAAACTTGTGTACAACCATGACATGGTACTTTTTCATCCATTGGTATGTTCCGATTCTGATAGGTGCGCCTGACATGGCATTTCCACGATTAAATAATATTTCATTCTGGTTGTTGCTCTTTTCTATCACAGATGCGGTAAGCATGTATAAGAACCAGCTACAACAGTATGGTCAAAAGCAAAATATTGGTTTTCCAGTGTATTCTTCTGAATCCGAAGGGCCGCCTCATTCTCGCCGATTCAGGTCAAGAGTCTCCCTTAATGGGAAATCATATGAAACGGTGGAATTCTTCCCCACACTGAAGGAAGCTGAACAAGCAGCCGCCAAAGTTGCTTGTCAGGAGTTGTCACTGAACGTGATTCAAGAGGTAGTTACTATTTCAAATAATTTCAAATAACACAAATCTCTTGATAATGTGATTTTTTGTTGCTTTACGAATACACAATGAATTTGAAATGCCCATAGGATGTCGGTTTACACAAAAACCTCCTACAAGAATTCGCTCAAAGAAAGGGTCTTCTATGTCCGTCATATGAAACGACCAGCTCGGGTATGTCGCATAGGCCTTCGTTTGTGTCTACAGTGGAGGTAGGAAGTAATACTTACACAGGGGCTGAAGCGAAAACCAAGAAGCTGGCGGAGATGAATGCTGCTAAAGTTGCTTACTGCGCTCTTACACACAGTAAGAAACTAATACTCTCTAGTGTGTTGTGGTTGGGGTTTGTTGTGGCTTTACTTTACTTAACATTTATAATGTATGTATTTATTACAGCAACTATTTGAAGTATGGGATTTGATGAAAAAAATTATTGCCAAACACCGCAGCACTATTGGTCTGAAAACTGAACCATACTTCTGCACTGGATTTGAACATTTCCAATAAAATCCTTTATTTGAATATATTGACAATTCGGAACGGTGTTTAGAGTATATAAAAGTATTTCAGTTGCAAAACATGTGTATGGTGTCTTTTCATTTTAATTGGTTGCTAATTTTGAAGTTGTGGACCAAAATTGAAATTTACTTCAGCTTCTTATATGATGTAAAGATAGTTATTTTCTTGATTTGATCGGTAGGCCTTTTTTTTAAATATTACATACTCAACCTTCTATTCTACGGACCTTTATTAACATTATGTATTCGAGCTTCTATAACGGTAGGTCATGACTTTCCTAATAGTGACCTTATATTTTTTCGAAAGCAAGCCCTTTAATTACGAATGCAAGTCATTTAGCCTTAAAATTGCCAGGAGAAGCTGAATATTCCTGTCTCCTATGTGTTGAAGTTGACCCGACATTATGACATTATTGCCCTTGAGAAATACTCCTATTGTCTTATAACTGTCAAATCCGGTAGAAGTTGGCTTGTGCAATAAATCCACTGTTAATGTTTTCAGGTGGGCCACCTACACAATCCTCAAGGATGCCATCTATCGATGGAATTGCTGTTGCTGATGGAACGATAAAAAAGCATCCAGATACAACAGACGAAGGTACTATCAGCAAAATCCCGTATTCTTTAATGTTGTGAGGTTTGAGTAGTATTGTTAATAACATATAAATTTTTTTCGCCTCACATTTTAGTTTATTTCAAGAATTAATTTCTGATTTGAAATTTTGATTATTTACTGAAGAAACTCGTGCACAAGCAAAACGAGCCAAGTCTTCACCGGAAAAAACGAATGCGAACATTCATCTTCAAGACCCGTCGCAGCATAGTAATTTACCATCATCAAGTGGTGCTAACATGGTTCATTCCCAAATGGAGAATGCAATCGCAGCCGAACCTGTTACCGAGCAAAGAGTTGCAGAAAACCAGCCGCCGGTTCATGGGACCACAGTGGTTTTCTCGACCAACTATACCTTGCCAATACCTGAACGTGCCTCTGTCATGCCGTATAGCGATAACCAGTGGATCGGGTATAAAGTTAATGTAGATCAAGAACCAAATTCGTAGAGACTCTCATTTTAGTGCTAATGCTGTGTTTTGAAGAGCTGTACTAAGTGCTGACTGCTGGATTTTTAGACCGAGTTATTCTCATATAAAGTGTAGTGTGTCCTGAGCAGATTTTAGCCTACCCTTGTTGTGTGTTGGTAATATTTGCAAGGATCTCTATGGGTGAGCTAATTATATTATGTTTTTTCTGATTTTCACTCTTGAGATTTCATCCAATTACTGAGAAATTGAGTTAATTACTATCTTGGGCAAATTACGGACACCTCCTTGAGGAAAAGCCAATTTACAAAAGAAAAAACCTTCTTGTTTGGGTAATTACAACCAGCCCCTCAATTGTGTATTTTCTTACAAAAACTTCTTTATTTAGAATGTAAGTTTGACAGCGTAAGAGTGGAAGTGTAAGATAATACATAACTAAGGGGTGATCGTAATTGCCCAAACATAATAGGGGTTTTCGCAATTTGTCCTTACCTTAGGGGGTTGCCGTAATTTGCCTTATTATCTTTCAATTCAAAAGGAAGGTATTATTTTCGTGTATTTTTAATTTAAATAAACAAATGGCAATTTGTAATTTCCAATATTAAATACATATTTGTTGTAACAAATAATAATACCCTTCCACCATAGTGAAATTCAGTGTCTAAAGTAAGCAACAATAGAAGGAGAAATACTTTCATTAATCCTAATTTTAATCAATTAAAGTTATTGAATAACATTATAAATAAATTACTAAAATTATGACACAAAAACCAATAATAAAAGGAGAAATACATAAATTAAAAAAAAAAACAAATATCAATGGACAAACACAAAAACATGTTCTAATCCTAGTCTACAAAACTTGGCCACGACGAAATAAAACAAAAATTAGAATATCCGAAACTCGGCCAAATTCACAGTATGACACCTTCAACGTTGTCGAGAGCTCTCCGGGCAATCTTGAACATAATTTCTAGAGGTTTTTTACCACACACAACGTATTTGCGGATGAAAAACTCGACCCCGCTCTTGACGGATTCATTCTCTGGAGTAATAGCTAAACGGGTAAAAATATTCCAAACGACCTTATCCGAAAACTCGAATATCGCCTCAAACAGCATACGGAAATGCATGATCTTCTTAGGAGTCAGAGATAACACGTTGTTTAAATCAACTGCCTTCAGAACCGCTAGTGAAATGCTAAATGATGCAACCATTTCCGCAATGAATTTTGATAAGTGCATCGATCTTATCAATGGCATCGAATCCAATTCCTTGAAATGATCCCACAAACAGTACTGCAGCAGAGGAAGAAGATAAACGAGAAGAAATTAGTGAAGGAACTGCTAAAATAGCAAATCACACGTACAAATAGGCGCTTTTATTTTTTATTAATTTTTTATTAGGGTACAAATTGCCGGTTAAGGCCATTTGGAAAAAAAAGCAAAAAATAATTTATTGCATCCAAATAACACGTCGTTTTGACTCCATTAGGTTATAAGCTTATAAGATATCTTTTTTTTTTCTTTCCCGAACGCATCGCATCGTAAAGCAACATTAATAGCTGCAGAAAATGGTCTAAGATATTCGATTTTTCAATTTCACGAAATAATAAACAGAATTACAAATTCGAACCTGCAAAGTGAACTTGTGGTTCTTGTCGTAACTGCACAGTTTTGATGCAAGAGCACAATAGTACTTGTTAAACACTTTCTCTTGGAGACAACACTCCACAAGTACGCGTATAATCTCTCGATCCTACACACGCAAAAAAATATTACATAAAATAGTAATAAGGAAATAAAAAAATAAATAATAATAATAATAATAATTACCTGTTTCCCAGGTAAGTCTAATCTGAGGAGTTTTTCAAAAGCATCGACGTAGTCATCACCGCTCATAATTACACAGAAAATAGCCCTCCTTGCATCGGTATTCATCCTCTGCGATGCTGCCAGCTGTAGCATCTTTTTGGTTTCAAGAATCTCCTTATCAATTGTGTTGGCAACCTCTTCGACGTTTTCCCTTTTCGAAGCATTTTCTCCGGACAACCACCACTGACCTTTCTTGCTAGGATCAAGAAGCTTGCTCCATTTCAACCCTCGAATTAATATATCATCTACTCTTAACTGCAACGAAGAAAGATGGTTACTTATATTTGATTTTTAGCATACGAGAAATATAATTAAGAGATGTGTTGTGGTAAAAATTGTAATCATCGGGTGCATCTTGAGCTTATGATTGTAATAAAATTTGGTTGTGATAAATGTAATTACTTAAGTCCTATTGACTAAATAGTAGGAGTTAGTAACAAGTTCGGTTGACAAGATCAAACTTAATCAAGCCCGGAACTAAAGTTGAAGCCCGTGATTAAATGCTACTATCCAATAAAATCAGCAGCTACCCCTAACCCCACTCCCTGCGATTAATTTTGTAGGTAGGTACTACAAAGCAAGAAAACTTTTTTATCCATAAAATGATACAAATTAGGATATGATTATTGTTAATTAGTTATTGATAAATCACACTTAGTACCAGAATTTAGGGATGTTATTGATAAATCACATCTAATCCAAATTAATCCGATCTATATGACCAAACGAGGCCTTAAGGAATGAAAATTTCAAAAATATAAACCTTTTGTAGCCACTTCTTAATCCGGGTGTGCTGCACAGTATCTTCCTTGGATCTTTTTTTATTGTTCTTGATATCACATATAGTTTCAAGCATAAACTCCATCTGCAGAAAACGATGCAAGTCAATGGAAGTTGAAAGCAAATGTAAGAAAAAAACCCGCTCGTTGGAATTTAGAATGACCCTACTCTTTTGTTGTTTATATTTGATTTTCCGTCTTCTGAAGAAGCCTTCAACTCATTTACCCTACTCTGAACACTTGAAATAAAGTTTTTCATCCCGACAGGATCATCTCCTCGTAATTTTATCCCACAACCTGTCAGAAGCAATAATTCAATAACTCGTTATTGATATAAAAATTTAATGTTAGAAATTAGAATCCATAGTCGAAGATTCTATTAGCATAAACGATAAAAGACAAAATAGCACTTACACTGCAGAACTGTCAAGACTGTAGAAACATCAACCTCAGTCAACCGCTTACCGAGCATTATCAGGAAATCGTATATCAACTCGCTGTGAATTAGAAAATCTCGTCAGTTGGTCAAAAACGCACAGATACGTAATATCGTTGCGGTTGAAAAATAGAGAAGAAATGTTCAGATCAAAAGTTAGTGCATATTTTCTTGAGCTTGTTTGTTTACCTTGAACAAATACCAAACACATATAAATACGAAAGAAGAAGAGTCACATTCCGCAGGGAGAGATTGTCGTCTTTCGAATACTCTTCCTGAAGAAAGAACACGAAAATGGCACGTAAAAATTAAGCTTGAATCGAACAACCTCAACCTTTTCACTGAGGTCTCGTGATTAGAAAAATAGAATGCATAAGATGGCGTAAAAGTTGTTTGAGAAAGAAGCACCTCGAAACATTTAGCAAGTCGTTCAAGAAGTTTTGCACCAAAGTCTATCCCGACCGAACAAGCCATTCCAGCAACAAATGATGCAAAAACTGCAGCATACCTTTAAATATAAATATAAATTTATATTAGATGTCATAAAACGAGGAAGAGTTTAAATAACAGAGAACAACACGTCAATCTCATATTTAAGTCCTACATTTATTTACAATGGAAACTAGAATTTTGGACAAAATCAAGACAAACAAGGTCAGAATCGGTTGGAACTTCAAGTAATTATGAATAATTAAATTAATTCAAGGGCTTTTTCAACGATGGACTTTTTATTCAGTAATAAGTGATAATAAGATAATGAAGTTACTTAAACAAAGTATCGTAAATAATATAAAAACGAAAAAGTGTCTTGAGCAGCTCAGATATATACGGAAAAAAAATATATGCTTACTGTTCATTGCCACGAGGACCTCCCGAACATGATGCAACAACTTCTTCACTTACAATTTGAGAGCCCGCAGTTCGACCAACTGACTGCAAATATCATAAAATTTTGAGATTGACTCAATTAGAGTAATGTTCACTAATTAGCTATGTAGCACGGATACGGAAACGGTGATACGGCGAAGCTGGGAAACGGACACGAGGAAACAGCATATCCCAAAAATGGGGATACAAGAACTTAGGAGAAACAGGTAAATATTAAAAGTATAGGGGTATAATTATAAATATGCTATATAAACATATATAAGTTTATTTATATATAATTTTTTTAATATTTCCACACAAATATATTCAACATAAGTATTATTATCAACTTATTGATTTGCAATTGATCACTAAATCATGTAATAAACTAGGGAAGCAGTAATTTTATTTTTTTGGAAATAGAAATTTGCTATTCCAACATGTTTCTAACTTTTCAGAAATTGCAAAATAGCCCATAAGGTGTCTGGCAGGTGTCTTCGAACGCGGAAACGTTAAGAAGTTGAAGTTTCCGTGCTACATAGCTAATTAGAGTAATATTAACTAGCAACGATATCTCTGAGTTCATTAACTATTCATAATCACATTTCCTCGATTATCTATTGCCTCCAAGAACTAAAATCAAACACCTCAAAACTAAATGACAGAAGAAAAAAAACGATAACTAGTATCTTACTTGCAATAGTGTAGAAATCTCCGCAGTGATCGACTCCACATTGGTTTCAGAAAGCTTATTTAGAAGTCCTGAAAAGAAACAAAAAATGAATTAAATCATAAAATCGATTGAGATGGTACCATCATAACCAACAGACAAAACAATCAGTATAACATTCTGAAACATTAGGCAATGCAAAATGCAACGGTAAATACACACCTCTTACTCGTTTACGAACTTGAGCATATTCTGCAGATTCACCTCCACCATGAGATCTCAGATGAGGAGGTACATATTTGCCGAGTCCCGCGTTAGAAGAACTTTTCACTGCCAACTCAGACGACGAAGTTTTCAAATCATTTTCGTTCTTTCCATCCAACATGCTGATGTCATCATCATCATCTCCCTGTACCTTGCCCGCCTTCACCTTGAGTTTCTTTGCAAGTTTTCTTTCCAATGCCACGTCAGCTTCAGTCTCGACATCCTCTTCAAATTTCGTTTTTCTTTTTTTCCCCTTACCACTAACTGGTCTATCGGATTCTTCATCTTCCTCGTCGCTACTACCAAGAAAATCGGATTCTTCACCCTCGTCATCTTCCTCCTCACTACCACCTAACAAATCAGATTCTTCTTCACCTTCTTCATCTTCCTCCTCACCACTAGCTAGCAAATCAGATTCCTCATCACTACTACCAAGAAAATCGAATTCTCCATCCTCGTCATCAACTGAAATATCATCCTCCGAGTCCTCATTCATGGAAATTTTTTTCTTACTTTTTCCAGATTTTTTACCGACTTTTTCAAATTCTCCGAGCTCGTCAATATCGGGGACTCCTTCAAGCAACATGTCCATACCATCATTAGCTGCGCCCAAATTCCCCTTCTTCAACTTGAGCTTCTTCGCAAGCCTCCTCTCGACATTCAAATCCTCCTCCGCCGACGGCACTAGTTTCCCCCCCATCTCCATTTCTAGCAAGTCGAAGAATTTGGTCTTCGGAGCTTTCCCAAAACCCTTGTTCCGTATCGAATCATTTTCATTTCTATTGTTGCCTATTTTACGAGGCTCCCCCCACCCTTTCGTTTTCGATTTCTCCGCCTCGGTAAGAATCTTAGTTCCATTATCCTTGGGTGTTTTTTTTCCAGGCTTCGATTTTTTCTTCGATTGCTACATCATGAAAACACAAATTTCACTCAAATTAAAACATAATAAAAAAAAAAAATCAGAAAATAGGGAAATTAAAGCACGAAAAGAAAATCAAAATTGATTGGTATTATTGAATGCATTACTCCGTGTTGGACCCAAGAATCAAACTTTCTCTTATTCTTAGAGATGCGAGCTTCTTTTCTGCGCTCTGCGCGGGATTTGGGATTGGATTTTTCTTCTATACCTAAACATGAAGTATAACAACAAAATCAGCTAAAATAAAACATAAAATTGTAACGTGAACCAAATATTAGGTCACCATAATCTTACCCATTTATACAACTGGGCGGATGCTCCGCTGAGAGCTCGGCGGCGGGAAGTGGCCGGACGCGGCGTTGAAAGTTGGGCGGCGAGTGAAGTCTGTTTTTTGAAAGCCAGGAAACCAATATGGGCTTTGGCTATTTATTTTCTGCACCACTTTTGTAGATGAGCCTTTCGAAATAATATTACTTAATAAATGGGAAAATTATAGTTTTCACCCCTCAATGTTGCATCAATTTCATATTTGGCCCCTCGTATTCACAAAAAACACATTCGGTCCCTCGTGTTCCAATAATTTAACACTTTTGGTCATTTTTCGTCAATTTATCGTTAGTTTGTTAGTTAATCAAGTCATGGAAGACTCTTGATTCCGTTAGTTTTAACACAAAATTGAAGAAAATTCAAGGAAATGACTAAAAGTGTTGAATTTTTGAAAAATAAAGGACCAAATTTTTTTTTTTGTGAACATGGGGTACCAAATTTGAAATCAGTGCAAACTTGAGGGATAAAAACTGTATTTTTCCCCTTAATAAATATTAAAATAGTATTAAAAAATGAGTTGAACAAACTAATTAAACTTAATAAATATTAAAATAGTACTAAAAGATTCAACCAAACGTGGCTTGAAGGCTTGATGATAGTATAAGATATACATTTATTTACTAATACAAATTTTATTTTCAATAACAATTCAAAGTTTTTAGGTACTTGAATTGAAATTTTACATCAATAAATCAATAAGTATATAATAATTAAATTATTATTTAAAGAAAAAAACTTAAATCAAATATTGATTCTATTAACAAAACAACAAATAATTTGTATTTTTTGGAGTAAAAATACTAATAAATTTTAATAATTATTAGTAGTCTATTACAACCTTACTTTAGCTCCTAATTAACCTCCTACAAATGTTTCTTACTCTTCTTTTAGGAGGACCAAAAGTTAAATACATAGGTACTCTTACATAAACTTAGCAAGGCTAGTTAATCACTATCTATCTATACAAAATATGGGCCACCATTTTTAATTAAGAATTAAGATAGCAATTAGCTATTAATTAAGGTTTTGTTGGCTAATGCAACAAGAAAATCTCTAAGATTCCCATGTGGAAGAATCTCACATATCATATTTTTCAATTCAATGCCATATTTTTTCTTGAATTCCTTTTGTATCTCGTTCATGTCCACCTCCGCCCGACTCACCATAACGCGGACCATAGCGCCCTCGTCGATTGTCGTACCCTTTAAGCATCCGTAGAGAACCTAGTCGCAAAGATATGCCACAAAAGTTATGCTACAATTCCAAGATTAAAGTCGCAAGTAAATATCATAAGCAAAAATGTCGCTACTTTTTTTTAATGTAAATTACAGGCGGACCCAAGTAGAGGCTCGAGGGGCCGTTGGCCCTGCAATTTATTTATCTATGTATGTATTCTAGTATATTCGTCCCCCCTAAAAAATAAGATGCCCGTTTATAAAACATAAAATTTTAAAAATCAGTAAATTTCAATAATAATATCACGTATATTATTTTAACTAGAAAACTAATTAAGTAATTATTGAAAAAATTACACCTTTCATCCCTCAAGTTTACATCGATTTCACATTTGGTCCACTTGTTCACAAGAAAACAGATTTACACCCTCATGTTTCAATAATTAAGCACTTTTGATCATTTCTGTCAATTTACCGTTAGTCTGTCAGTTAAGACAGCGATCGAGAACATGCTTGATTATGTTATGAATTGGTAACGGAAAATCGACGGAGACGACTAAAATGTATATATAGTTTAATAATTAGTACCTTAGCATAAAATCTTGGTGGGCTGCATATGCATTTTGCAACAACACTCACCGCCTCCTCAAATTCTCCAAACCCTCCATTCTTCAGAAACTGAAACCAAATGCAAATTGTTTTCCAAGGTTATTATTAAATTTAGGGCAAATTGCGGTCACCCTCTTGAGATATGACTAAATTACGAAAAAAATCCTCTTATTTGTATAATTACAACTACTCCTCTTCTTAAATATTTTTACATAAAATTTAAGTAATTCGGTTATTTACCAAACCAAAACGTATATTCAGTTCGGTAAACGTTATGAAATGTTGGCGTACCGAAATTTCATTTCGGTTTAACATTCCTACATTTTCCTCTTTAGGGATAATTTTCGTAAGATAATATAATTGATAGGTGGTTGTAATTACCCAAACACGAGGGTTTTCGTAATTTGACCATAACTCAGGGGTAGCCGTAATTTACCGTTAAATTTATTAATTATTTAATAATATTTATGAGATCTTCTTACACTGGTGTAACTTTGGCCGTAGATACGGTTGTAGCTTAAAAACGTAAGCTTCAGCTGCGCAATGCTTCTCTTACTGAAAATCTCAACAACAACGCCTTCATCAATGGCGGTGGCACTGGCAATCCCCGTTTCGTACAGCCTCCTCGCATCGCATTTCGCGATGTGCGCGCTGACGTCAGCACCGTGCGCCTTGTGCGCCGCCGTCAGCGCCGTCAGGATCTTCTGGTACGGGTGCGGCGGCTCGACGGCGGCGATGCTGGTTTCTAAACGGATCCCGTATTTGGCGCGGTAGGCTTGTAGGATCAGGAGAACGTGGCTCGATTTGCGGCACGCGAGTATTTCGATTAGGGCTTTGTAGTCGACTGCGACGGCGTCGTTTTGGCCTAGGGCTTTTCTCGCTGCGGCTGCGTCGCGCTCGAACGGGTCGAGCATCAGACACGTGGAGGGCGGTGGTTGGTCGAATTTATTGGAGAGGAGTTGAATTAAGTCCTCCCCGTAGGTTTTCTTGTATGCTTCCCTAACTTGCCTGCACTCTGGTTGGGTTAGGTTAACTAGGGTTTGAGTTATCAGTTTCTCGTCGTCGCGAGAATCGTGGATTTTTCGGCAGATGCTCTCTGTTGTTGGAGAAACTGCCATTTTTTCATGAACATTGTAGAGAAGAAAGGAGATGAATTGTTTAATTTTTTAGTGGTGAGGGGTTAAATGTGATGAAAAAAAGTTGAAAAGGGGCTGAACGGAAAAGCTAAAAGTTTTTTTTTTTTTTATCTAGGGAAGTAGAAAGATGATGTGTAAGGTAGTTTGTACAATTGTAAGGACTGCTGTGTCGTACTCCCATTACGTCATGCTCACCTGCCGTCTCTCACCCTCCTTTCCCCTT